CTTCTTCTTCTTCTTCTTCTTCTTCTTCTTCTTCAGTACATTGCCGATCATGACTCTCAACAATTTCCTGTCCTTTTGTAGCTCTTAATAAGCTTTGTCTTTTCTTATCTTTCCTAAAACCATGTAGACTAGGTCCTACCACTATTTACTAGGTAGATTATGCGTCGTTCTTCCCAGTTTCTCTTGCCTTCAATTTGTCCTGTGAGTATAAATTTACCAAGCCGTCTTTCTTCATTATGGGACTTAGACATTTAACCCATCTCTTCCTAATGCTAACTGATGTTAGCGTGTCCTTTTTTATTCAATATTCTCAAAAACTTCGACGTTGCTCACATATGCGGTCTACGGTATTCTCAGCATCCTTCTGTAGAACCACATTTCTGTTGCTTCAGATCTCTTATTCATCTGGGCGGGGATTATCCAGCATTTGCTGCCAAACAGTAGGACTGGTATTACGTAACAGTTCAGTGGTCATTTCGTTGTTTCTAACAAAATGTTTCTGTTTCCTAATACTTAGCATTTGAAAAGCATCTTTCGCTGTCCCATTGCACCTTCAAATTTCAATGTCGCACTTTTCGTCCTCTGCTAAACACTTCGCGAATATTTAAATTGTGCTTCTTTGATTCTGGCATCTCTAATTTGTAATTTGCATGTTGAGTTGTCCCTTTCGCTAACAACGATGCACTCTACTTCTTGCAATTGATGTTTCTCGCTTTCCTTCATTACTTTCTGTAGGCGTTCTTGTAGTTTGAGACAATGGCTTCAGTCACTTCAAATCGTCGAGGATGGATCAACAAGATACATTCATTCTGTTACGTGTGTCGGGATTTCACGATCGTTGCAAAGCGCCAAACAATTTCTCCGCTCTTAAGAACTGTTTAATTTCATTATTTTTATTGTAAAAAACATACTATTTGTATATCTGCCCAATAATAATCCATGAAATCCTTTCCAAATTCGAATGCCCGTTACGCATGGACGTAACTCTATATATGATCAATGCTTATGTTGTTTTCCATATATTTGTTTACCTCTACAATAGTTTCTGTCATTATTTACATTATTCGGACTATTGTCCTCATCTTTGTCGCCATATTTATCACAACGTTTCGGCCGTTGTACGATCCGGTGGTTAGAATTTCGAACTGAACCCTTTATTTCGCTCACTGGGGTATCATATTATATTTGATGGATATCGGTTATCAGTTATCTGCTAATTTCCCTCTGAAAGTTCTCCACTGCCTTAACCAGGTATTGAACACACACTCTTTGGGTCCTGTCACTGGATCTAACCAACGCCTTTATCCACTGTGCCATGTGTCCTTGAGGACATCTGCGTATGAATTTCTGACTATTATAAACCTAATGTCTTCAGCAACCATTTTTACCAGTGCTCATATTGCAATTTTGCTGTTATCATTGCATGTTTTTACCAGAGCTCATATTGCAACTTTGTTGCTATCATTGCTTTTCTCTGGCACTCCTTATTACTGGTTCCCATATTGTATTTATTTCTATGCTTGGTCGGCTCAGGAGATTTTTGTGGCCCAGAATATGTGCTGATTTCTTAAGTTTACGAATTTTCCAATGGTGTTCCTTGTCTATGATCTCAACATTATCCAACAGAGGGCGGTGATCTCCCTTCTCTCTCCATATGTGGTCAGCCACGCCTGATTTTTCTACTTCCTCTCGTATTACAGCTTTCTGGTGTTCTTGAAGCCTTACCTTGAGGGGGCGGTCTGTCTTTTCTTTTATATTCCTTTCCGCAGCTGCACGGGATAGCGTACACACAGTCTTTAGTCATGTTCTCCTCTATGGGGGGGGTCTCACTCGGGAGAGATATCTGCGAAGTGTTGTCAAGCTTTTGAAGGTTCTCCTGATGTTATATGGACCGCAGATCCTTTGTATTTTCTCTGATAACCCCTTCATATAAGGCAGGCAGACTGTTTTCTGAGTGTTGTTGTCCTCTTCCTCTTGTACCCGCTTATCCCACATTTGTGGGGGGAGGGTTGCTGCCATGTACCCAGGGTAATTGTTACGTTGTAGAGTACTAATTATACTGACCAATTCTTTATCTAACGTCTCTGGGTCGCCACTTATGACTTTTGCTCGGTGTTGTAAGCAACGGACGACCCCTTTCTTTACGTTGTATGGATGGTGAGAGTTGAAATTGAGGTACTGTCCGGTGAATGTCGGTTTACGGTATACGGATGTCTTAAACTCATGCTCTGTTCGAGATATTAGAACATCCAGGAATGGGAGTGTGTTGTTACTCTCTTTCTCCATTGAAATTTATTTAATTGCAGCGAAATGAAATCCTCTTCAAATTCGAATATACCTCGACGTAACCATATATCTGATCAATGTTTATTTTGTTTTCCATACACTACATGTAAGAATTATTATGGGACATAGGTAGTCAAAATAGATAAATTCCTTTCAAAAGCATGCAATTTCCGTCCCATTATACTTGATACAATTGTATACAGATTTCGTATACTAAAACTAGCAAACCTTACGGGACAGAAGCAGAAAAACATATATATGTGCAATAGTACTTGATACAATTGCATACAAAATTCATTGTGGCGAAATGAAATCCTATTCAAATTCGAATATGCATGAACATAATCGTATATATGATCAATGTTTATTTTGTTTTCCATGTTTTTGTAAGCTAATATATATCTCTACAATATTTTATTATAAAAGTGGAGATTAGGACGAATCCTGGGCCCCTACATATCTATTGTAAACCAGGTTACAATGGATTAACTGCATTTTGTTAATGAAAAGAAAACATCTTCATTGCTGTTCCGATGGTCTGGAGAGAGCCACAAAGACATGCTGATAATTGTTATGTTTAACAAATATAACTGGTTTCAGTGTTTTTTCTAAATATATATATCCCAACCTTCCCTTAGCTATGAGACCCCTTCCTAACTCAGATGATCTTCCTTTCTCTATACTCCAGTACATAAAGATATTATTCTTCATCATTTGAAGATTTCCTTCAGAGGAACATTCCGCCAAGTTAGTCTCTTCTGAAGACAATGTCTATTTATTTTGTGGCAATTAGCATTGAGCCCTACTGGATCACACAGGAAAACCTGAATGATCTTGCCAGTTATTGGTAGCTATCTAAGCAGCATTCAGAGGTCTTAAAATCCCGGCTTAAGCAGTGGAACCTGTTCCCGTCAGATGTAAGGATCACCAATTTCAGGATACGAAACAAGGACTTTGCCTCATATGGAAAACAAATTGTGAAACTGCAAAAATGTCTCTGGCTTATTTACTTTTCTTGGCTTCCCATACATTTCCTAAGATTGGCGTCTTTTCGTAGACTCTTCCAAGAAAAATATGAAGACAGTGCTCCTGAACAATGGGAATAAATACCCCTGTTTTTATATTGCTCAAACAATCCATTTGAAGGAATCGTATTACAATTTCGAGCAAGTACAAGCATTAACAGTGGAGTTTCTGTGGGGACCTCAAGGTCATTCGACTCCTTACGGGTGTGCAAGCAGGCTTCATGAATTACCCTTGCTTTCTCTATCTCTGTGTCAGTCGGGCTACAAGTCGAAGGACTGGGTGTCTAGGATCACTTTCGTGCCTGGTGAAAAAGATGTTAAAGAAAATCTGGTGGACTTGAACTAGGTCCTGCTTCCTCCTCGTCATATCATACTTGGTCTAATGAAGAATTTCGTGAAGGCCCTGGAGAAAAATGGTATTCCTTCCAACAACTGTGCCCTCTATCCCCAGCTCCCAGTCCTGCTAAGCTCGAGGAGGCCATCTTCGCCAAACCTCAGACACGAAAACTGCCGAAGGATAAGGTATTTGAGGAACTACTTTCCTTAAATAAACTGAGAGCATAGGAAGCATTTAAGTCAGTCTGTTATGGGTGCTTTTTTAACACAAGCGTACCTGATTACCAAGTGTGTATTATGGAGTTGTTAAAATCTTATGCGGATACAGGATACCGAATGTTATTCAAAATTCATTTCTCCACTTCCATATTTAACTTCTTCCCTCGAAGCCTCAGGGCAGTGAGTTATAAGCATGGAGAAAGCTTACAGAAAGCTAATACTAAGATGGAGAGAAACCACCAAGGCAAGTGGAACCCCAGAATGATAGGGGACTTCTGCTGGGGGATCTGGCGCTACCTACCGGAGAGAAAGTATACGAGACCATTAAAAAACCCACTTCTGCTTGTCTGCTGTACTATGATGAGTTTGACTGATATTATCCAAATGATTTATTTCCGTAAATGATCTTTATCTATGCTGTTTTTTCTGTAATATTCCGTTGTAATAGATAGAATAAATACATTATATTTGAATTTGTGTGAAGTATAATAAAAATGCGATATGTGAAAGCAAAAAATAACTAGAGGTGATAAAGCAAAACTGTTCAGAAATTTGAATTCAACACACTAAAATTAGTAAAAAACACCAACTCATATGCTTGCCACTGAGAATTCTATTTTGTAAAGCAGCGTGATTAGGCAGTTTTACAAAAAGGCATACTACATCTGTCCCATAATACTTGATAGAATTGCATATAAATTTCATATATTAAATCTAACAAACATGAAGGGAGAGAAGAAGTAATAATAATGAGATTATTTTATAAAAGCATACCATCACTCTCTGATAGTTGATAGAATTACAGAGACATCTAACAAACAATTATAGTTCAAAAGATGTTAAAATAATTGGAATTTTCAAAAGTATACAAGGAATTTCCCATAATGATTGTTACAATTTAATTCATATTTCACACATTTAATATAACAAACATTATATGATAGATATGTAATTATTTTTTCACAAGCATAACATTTTTTACCAGACATTTGATAACCAAAGTATAATATTTGAATTCTGCTTGTTCTTTCGTCACTTAGCACGTACGTTAAGCCCTGCTAATGCTTAATAAATAATAGATTATTCCCTTTTGATCACGAGGAATGAGATATCAGAGAATTTGTTTGTTTTCAGCTATAAAAAGAAAGATAGAAAGAAAAGCAAAATAGGAAAAAGAAAGAAAGACAAGATGGGAAGATGCAAAGACAAGACAGAAAGAAAGAAAAGAGAGAAAGAAAGAAAGATAAAATAGAAAGAAAGACAAGAGAGAAAGAAAGACAAAATAGAAAGAAAGACAAGAGAGAAAGAAAGAAAGAAAGACAAAATAGAAAGAAAGATAAGAGAGGGAGAGAAAGAGAGAAAGAAAGAAAGACAAAATAGAAAGATAAGAGAGAGAGAGAGAGAGAGAGAAAGAAAGAAAGAAAGACAAAATAGAAATAAAGACAGAGAGAGAAAGAAAGATATAATAGAAAGAAAGAAAGACAAGACAGAAAGATGGAAAGACAAGATAGAAAGAAAGAAAGACAAGATGGAAAGATGCAAAGACAAGATAGAAAGAAAGAAAGACAAAATAGAAAGAAAGAAAGACAAGATGGAAAGATGCAAAGACAAGATAGAAAGAAAGAAAGACAAAATAGAAAGAAAGAAAGACAAAATAGAAAGAAAGAAGGACAAAATAGAAAGAAAGAAAGATAAGATAGAAAAAAAGAAAAATACAAGATAGAAAGATGGAAAGATAAAATAGAAAGAAATGCAAGATAGAAAGAAAGAAGAAAAGATGGATAGAAAGAAAGACAAGATAGAAAGGAAGATACTCAAGACAAGATAGAAAGTAAAAAAGAAAGAAGGACACGATAGAAAGAAAGAAAAGAAAGAAAGATAGATAGGAAAAAGAAAGAAAAAAAAAGACAAGATAGAAAGAAACAATCTTATTATCTCCCTCCTATCGAATAGCATCATGATTGTGACTTAATCATCTGTCCCATCACTCTAGTCTGGGCAAAGGTTTGATAACGATTTCATCATCTTTGTACTATCACGGAAACGCTGATTCTTCTGTCTGATTGATGATCATCTTGATAATTAACTTATCGCCTATGTATCTTTCACTCTTCTAATATCAGTCATTTTATCGCGATGACGTCATCTCAATATTATCGAAAACGGAAACTAGAAAGACGCTCATAAAACCAGAAAGAAGCAGTAAAATTTCTAGGAAACTTTCGAAAGACAGACGACTGGGAAAAATGAATACCAAGTTTTGAGCATCGGAAAAGTAGAAACGAACAGCTATCAACCTGCATAATTAGTTTGATTGGATGGCAGAACAGGGACAAGGAATATAGTAAGGATCTTGCTTCCTAGTTAACTTTGATCTTCAAAAATACAATGTTAATCGTTATCTTCTGTCTTAAATACTGTTTGTTATTTTCCTTTACACTTAAGATTGTTTTTTCTCTCATATTCTCTCACGATCGGTAATTCCTAGCGACTTATTGGTTTATTGCCTTTCTTGTGGTGAAAGGATTAACATGTATTTGTCTTAGATGGAGCTACTGTGGATTAATGGGTCGGCTTATACTGAGTAATCAGAGAGCCGAGTTCGAATTCCAGTCGAGATTGTTATAACTCATTTATGTGCAAATACCCTTGGGAAAGGTATGATTACATCTCTTCTCCCTTCAGATATCGATAAATAATAGGAAAATCCTGGCCTTGCTTGTCAACCAGTCTAGGAGAAAAACAGCTCTGAATTAAAATCTGTATGTAGCCCTAGCGAGGCATATACTATCCTGCTAAGGAAAGGATCCTGGAATTCGCAGTCACTTGATGATCTCAACTATCGTAGAGCACATTCATTGCGCCTTAGTGGCTTTCTTGCCTTGTTTGGTGTGGAATGATTTTTTAAAAACGTGTGGAACGTTGCATAGTGAGGCAGGAAGTTGTGGTGTGCCATAGTCGGCGATATCCTGAAGATGATGATATTCGTCAGTCACATTATGGTTTTAACATCTGTTTTATCACTCTCCGAAACGACAATCATCAGGATTATCCTCTCTAATCCATCATTGTCCGACTATTAGCCATTTTGGTCATGATCTTTTTTTTTTTTTATCTGACCTACCGCCAGTAATCTTGATTATGATTTCATCGTTTTTCTCACCAATACTTTCTAAGCGACAATTATTGTAATTATCATCTTATTTTCACTGATCCACCAATCTCCCCTCCTGTCAATCATATAAGGTCATGACCTCTTCATCACTGACACATCGTCGGTCATTTTTTTCTAACATCCCACCATCATCTATTTCTTTCCCAATGAACATTCACTTTTATATGAATATTTTTACGGTTGCAACTGCACAGATAGATCTCATTTATTCTGGGTCCCGGGATTTTGTAGCGTGATCTAAAGGTTTCTTCAACCTCTTGTGTTTCACTTGAATAACCCTTTTTTTTGTTTTAACTAATCTTCACTCAGTACACGAATCAAGGTCCTCTCAAGGTAGAGATTTACTGCGTGGCTTTGTATGAGCGTAAGAAAAGGCAAGAAGTGGAGTCCGAGAGGTTATGCAGGAAAACTAGCGTTTAATTGACATTATTCGGACTATTGTCCTCATCTTTGTTGTCTAGTTCCACTGTGCCATGTGTCCTTAAGGACACATAGCACAGTGGATAAAGGCGTGGGTTAGATCCAGGACAGGACCCAAAGAGTTGTGAGTTCAATACCTGGTTCAGGCAATGGAGAACTTGCAAAGGGGAATTAACAGGAGATATAACTGATAACTGACATCCATTAGACATGGGAGGTGGAACTAGAACAGTCTACCCCGAGAGTAAATAAAGGGTTCAGTTCGACATTCCAACCACCTGAAGAAGGCCGGAGTGTACAATGGCAGGAACGTTGTGATAAATATGGCAACAAAGATGAGGACAATAGTTAGAATAATGTAAATAATGTGCATAATACCTCATCTCAGAAATATAGACAAATGCTAGTGTTTTAATCTAAACTTGAAGAGAATGAAAAGATTTTAAAAGTGATCGGAAACCAAGCCCTAAATAGGAAACAAACTTCTACTCCTGTTCAAAAGACCGGGGAGAAACGTGAACCGGGCGATAGTGTGGAGATCATTTGTAGGTCTAGTGGAATGATTTTGTATGTGTATTCATAGCCTACCCCACATGATTCTGCGTCATTCTCACATGTATCACTTAAATAGAAAATGTTCAATTGTCTTAACAGTAATGTATGTCTGCTTTTTGCAATTATCTCTAGTACCCGAAAATTTCCCATTGTCTGAAAACCAAATGGCACTAATGCTGACAAGTAGTGGAATGCATAGGATTTGATCCATTCTATAATTCCACATAGAAATGGCAAACTCATGCAAAATAAAAATACCCAGCTAAGTTCGATTTTTACTGGTTTTGTTTCCGCCTTTTATTTATGGGTTCTGAATAATATATGTAATTGTTTCTTTTTCTTATAGAGCTCTGGTCGATATAATCTTCTTGATTTGTCTCCTCTACTTTAATCAATTCACTTTAATGCTACTGGTCTCACAAACTTGGTTTTTCTGCATAAACGGGGTGCTGCATTCCGTGTCGCCACAAGCTTTAATACTCCAGACGCCAACACCACTTGATAGACGGTATCAACAAATATGTTTTAATATTCGTTTCATTATCCGAGAGAGATGTTGTAGCGTGGATTCTCGGCGTTAACGAGAGGAAGATGTTCACTGGAATTCATGTCCACTCTTTGGCTTAGAATTCTGTCACGTGTGGGTTAGCCTCTCTGAGGAATCTGAGTGCAGAAAACGTGTCGACGCTTCAAATTTCCTGCGCCTTTCTACCGACTTGGTCTTATAGACAAAACTTATTCAAAGGCAACCCATTACTGTCAGAACTGAGCACCCACGTGTCTTCTGACCAGTAATTTGCTATCTTGGTTTTCGCTTTCTGTGACACGGGAACATTAGACGATTACATAATTAAAAAATATCAAATACCGAAAGATGTGACAGTAAGTACATCAGTTTAAATACACACACAGAAAGACCGAGAGCATTAAACAATCCCTGAAATATGAAACTGAACCTTGACTTTATTAGATAAGGTTATTTTTTTATTAGAATATGTTAATATATAATTAGGTGTTATCTGATCTAAATAAATTAACTGCAAATTCTGTCTTTCAGTCCGTGAGTCTGAGACCCACACTTGCCCTACATAGACATATTATATCTTTTTAGAATCAGTATAAGAAATCTGTCATTCATTTGGGGCCTGAACATCTAACATTGATATTTGTGTCCGGATGAGGAGGGAAGAGTTAAAAAATTAAATTTGAAAACAACTGAAAATTATTGATTTTAAGATTTTGTTAATTTATATTGAGTTTAAAGTAACACTAAAAAGTTTGGCAATTAAAAAATGTTTTAAATTCAGTTTAAATATCCCAAAGCTTTGTGAATTGGGAAATTAATTTTAATTCTTTAAAATGTCATGGAATCATCATAATTATCATTAAACCCAGGTTGTGTGGGTGTGTGTGTGTCTGTTCGTTTATATATTGCATCGGATTTCCTACATTTTTCAACCGATTTCAACAAAACTTCACAGGACTACGTAAAATTACCTTGCGGTGGTTCTGAGAGCGCCCAAAATTGGAAAAACACAATTGTTTTTGCACAAAATCAATTTGAAAACACGATTAAGAGGCATATCGAGTTATACTTATTATAAGACACAGGTTGTGTGTGTGTGTGTGTGTGTGTGTGTGTGTTCGTTTATATATGGGATCGAATTTCTTATATTTTTCAACCGATTTCAACAAAACTTCACTTTTTTTGGCAGGTAGTGTTTCTTATTGTCTTGCACACTTTTTTCTTTATTTATACATTCAGAATGCTTTAAAAATTCCATTTACATGACAATTGTTTATAATAAAATTCTATTCAATCGGTAGACTCATAACGATTGAAAACAATATTTTTGTCTGAGTTTGGGTTTGACCAATTCGTAACCCCCCCCCAAAAAAAAAACTAATTAAGAAATGCGGGTCCGTCAACTTTAAACAATAATCTTTGTGAATTTTATTTTTCCGTCTTTATGATGGTCGATACTTGATCTATCTCTTACTGTTACATCCCCGGGTAACGCCGGGCTCTACTGCTAGTCAGAGTTAAAGTGAAAGGTTTCGTCATGTGCGGTTTTGAAGTTCCTCAGAGTTTATGATTTGGAGAACTCAACTCAATTGAAGTTTTATGGAGTTTTCAGTTGAAGAATTCAATTTTCGGCCTGAATTGAAATTTTGGCACAAATCGGAGTTTCTGTCAAAATTGCACTTTCGGTCCAAATCGGTCTTTTGGCCGGAATTAGATTGATAGCCCGAATTAGTTTTTAAAGTTCCATGGAGTGAATTGAGGAATTCAGAGTTATTTCTTTCATTTTCTTTTTTTATCATTGTTGTCTTCTAAGCTGGACCAATGGTTCCTTTTCATTTGTTCATAAATGAATGTCTTAAAATGCAAGATTTCATATTTTATGCGCAATGATTTTCGGAAATGAGTAAACGTCGGAACTGCGATAAAAAACAAAAAACAAAAAAAAACAAAAAACAAAAAAAAACATTTAGAAGATGTAATAAAATTGTGCTCCGGACAGTCAAAATGTGGTTTGGTAGATTTCGTCAATTGGATTTTAACCTAAAAGATCAACCACGCCCGGGAGTCGAGGGAGACGTTTTGCTTGCCACCATGAAGATAAACCGAAGACTTTGACGGAAGATATTTCTAAGATTTTGCCATTTGAAGAGACTTGGACTTAAGAAATACGATGCCATTTTTCACTAAGACAACGCATAAAGCGTACTGCAAAACAGATCTTGCATTAGATTAATTAGAATAGGAAACCGTTTCAGACAAAAAATACAAAGTTTCTCCAAA